GATAAGCTGGCGGAGATGTCGGCATCGGTCACAGAATAAAGAGACCAGACATGCATTCTCTGACTTACCTACTTTTTTACTTATTTACAATAGAACACTAATAATGGTAGGTACCACCCTACCTATTTCTGCCGTGAAGTAAGTTCGGTTTGAAAGACAGGGCAGCCGTTGTAACTATACTGAGACTTGGAACTCATGTCTCCAGATGGGTGGCGGCATTTACATTTTAGATGTTTATGGGCTTCGGTCGCCACTCACATCAATATATATCGTACGTTTCAAATCCTCTTGCATTACTGCATTACGGTAATAATAAAATGAATGTACCTACACTAGTACACCTCAACTATGATTTTTATTACACGTTTTTCTTCTTTTTTCGAGAATATCGTTCAGGATAACGAGTAAGTATGTATTGTGAAAGCTGCTACCCTACCCTAAGCGGCTATTTCGATTGCTCGTCGATTCTATGGAAAGACATTATTCTGTGAAGCAAAGAAGTCACGATTTCGAGGTCAATGGTTCAAGTTTGTGGACGTGTCAATGTTTTGATGAAGCTCACCGGATCTTGCTCTTGTTGTTACCAGATATCACATACGATTTGGTATGTCTAAGATGCTGATATACAAAGATATGCTAAGCTAAGCTAACTATTACTTTTTTTTATGATTGAAGAATTACTAGTGTACCGGAGGCCTTTTCAGTTTCACCAGGACAGGTGGTGGGCGAAGGCTCAGCCAGGAGGGGTGGGATTGGCTGACAGCTGCCCGAGCGCCTCCCAAGGAGACCTAACAACTCAAGAGCAACTGTTTCGCGAACGAATCTATTACCGGATCGGAATCGCGACCCACTGAGAAGATCCGGCGAGAGACTCAGCGAGCTGATGCATGGGTTTGGTTGCGCGTCGACCTCTTTGTCGAGTTCGATGTGTAAGGTTACCTAGGTCCCTAAGCCTGCTCCTAGTGTTAGAGCTGAAGTCGTCAATTACTCTTGAAAGAAGAGATAAGATGTCGGAAGGGAGAGAGAGAGAGAGAGAGAGTACATTGAAATAGCAGGAAACCTGTTCGTCAAAACCGACAAGTAGTGATAAGTAGAACCGATAATTCCGGTTCACAAAAGATCTTTCGCATTAACAACACGCGAGCCATTTTGAAATATTTTTATACAGTAATTAAATGCTTTAACTTTAATAACATATAAGTTTAGGGGCATGCGCTACAAGATGTCGCTAGTTTCCATATAAACAAAATATTTGTCTTAAACTATTGCAATTTCAGGGTCCTGGCCCATAAATTTAGTACCCTAATACCAGATCTCTCTGCGCGTTCATATCAAAACAAAAGAAAGTACGTCCGTGAACTATATATTCGAATGTTGAATTCATTAATAAATTACGCAAAGAGATTTTTAATTGCCTCATTGAAATTGCGAGTCTCGAAAGTTAATTGAATAATTAAAAAATAAAAAAAAAAACATCAGACGCGCTAAATGAAGAACCGTGGTAAAGATTTAGAGTAGTTTACAAATTTGTGTTTTAGGGATTTTGGTTTGCGGGTTTTTGAAGTGAAACTTCTTTATCGGCGTTGGAAAAAAATTTACCGTCACATTTTTCGGTTACGCGTCACATTTTTCCGTTACGCGCCATCTGTTTTGTATTCATGTCTATGATAATAAAATCCTTTTGTTTAAACTTTATCTAATTTAACTTTATTTAACCAATTTCTAGAAAGTTGCATGTAGATCATTTTTCGAAAAATAAGGCCATAAACAAGTTTCACTTCTTACGTGTGTACACTAGTACACGCACACATTTTTTTTTTCTAAAGACGACGGGTTTTTTTTTCTAACGACTTTTACTATGTAGGTATAATAATCTCGTGTAATATGAACAAAGGCATCTAAATATGTAGACCAGATATATATTTACTGGTGGTAAGAACCTCTTGTGAGTCTGCGCGGGTGGGTACCACCGCCCTGCTTATTCCTGCCGTGAAGCAGTAATGCGTTTCGGTCTGAAGGGTAGGGCAGCCGTTGTAACTATACTGAGATCTTAGAACTTATATCTCAAGGTGGGTGGCGCATTTACGTTGTATATGTCTATTGGCTCCAGTAACCACTTAACACTAAGTGGGCTGTGAGCTCGTCCATACATCTAAGCAATAATAAATTTAATTTTTTTTTTTTTAATTCTTTTTTCTTATTTTATCCCAGGTTTATATCATTTTTCCAAGTCGATGTTTTGTCTATTTAATGCATTCGTCTGAAAAAATATAGGATTTTTTTAATTATAGTTTATTATTCGAACGCCAATACCAAATATCTTTGGTATTGGTATTATCATACAATTTTATTGGTGGTAGGACCTCTTGGTAGTCCGCACGGGTAGGTACCATCACCCTGCCTATTTCTGCCGTGAACCAGTAATGCGTTGCGGTTTGAAGGGTGGAGCAGCCGTTATAGCTATACGGAGACCTTAAACTTCACATCTCAAAATGGGTGGTGGCATTTCAGTTGTAGATGTCTATGGGCTCCCGTAACCACTTAATACCAGGTGACGGTGAGCTCGCCCATCCATCTAAGTAATAAAAAAACCATATCTGTTTCCCAAATTCGTTATGCTATTTTTCAAACTCAATTTAATGCATCATTGGGATCGTATTTTCGACCTACAAAACGAATATTTCAGAGTGGAGCCTCTTTTGTATATTTTGGAAGAAGATACGCTTCAAAGAAGAAGTAAAAATCTATCACCAAGATTCTAAGATTCTAAGCGAAAGTTGGAGAATAAAATTGCTTGGACCAAAATACTCAAATGGTTTCACTGTTCCTGGAATCCAGAATTAGCGTGTAATTCTGATGGAGACCAGGGAGATAGAACTGAAAAGATATTCTCTATTACCAAATCAACAGAATTAATAATATACAGAATAGATATATTCATATCTGCAGAAATACGCTATTACACTACATAGTATAAAACATGTATGCTTAAATCTTTAAAACTACGCAACGGATTTTGATGCGGCTTTCTTTAATAGATAGAGTGATTGAAGAGGAAGGTTTATATCGACGCTTGAAAGGCAATCATGACTAAGCGACAATAACTGCTTTGTACATAAATGATAGGCAATAACCATATTCGATGCGCAAAAAATATATATTTCTAGGTCTATTAAAATCATTTCAATCCTACAGCTACTAGCTAGATTTTACTACAGCTAGATTCGTTAAAAAAAATTTTTTCAGGTATTTCAACTTTAAATTAGTCTACTGTAAAGTTCACGCATTGTCGCTTAGTCACGTTTGCCTTTCAAGCGTCGATATGTATAATAACATCCATTAAATAGTGGAGAAATCAATAATAAACTGCAGCTTCCGAAGCGAAGTGAGGGCGGGTCGCTGGCTATTTATAATAATTTAAGACAAAATTCTGAGAATTATTTTTAACTTATTTTCAGACTGCCGGCTTGGTCTCCGTCGCGTCTTAAAGACATTTATCAAGACCACGAATATAACTAATAGAATAAATGTATACATTTGCAATAAAATAATCAGATATCACCTTTGACTTGTCGCTAACTTTTTCTTTCCTTTACAAAAGCACATGACGACTACTAAAGCGTGTTTTCTGATGTGTATATTTTTGTTTGGTTATTTTTATTTATTCATTTATATTAAATTTCTAACAGAAGACTTTAGAGATGTCTTATATGTGGTAAGAGTGCAGGCATAATAAATAGATTTACGAACTGAAATACATAGTGGTGTACTTCAAAATTATCTTTAGCGCGCCCCTTAAAAGAACTCCCATAATTTTGTGTTACTTAGTAACATAAAGTATTCTGTGTTCAATTTACATTTATTCTAGAGACCGTTACTGTCTCAGTTATTATTAGTTGGAAATTCATTCAATAAAAATAAAAAAGATTAATAAAACACGATAACAATGCTATTTTATTCGTAATGTTAGACAGGAAAGAAGTTCACATCAATAATGAAATCAAAGCAAAAAAAAATTCGAAATTACCCACACATACATACACACACGCACACACATCAAGTACGCAGTGTAAACTCGGCGATTTCTACGGGCAATTGTTTTGCACTTTCACTCAGAGAAACTGATGCTTTTCGTTCATTGTCGGCCGGTGTTCGCCGGCTCGCGGATTTGAAATTGGAACGTTAGGATTTCCAATTTCGTTGTAGGTAGGTAGGTATGTACGTTATAAATGAATTTAAAATGAATCAAACACGAAACCGTGCCATAATATGAAAGTATGTGTTCGATTTTTAAACGATCCGAAGTTCGAATTTCGAAATTAATTATCTTCGCGATTATAGCTACATATTTTTGTTATTTTAATTTTTGATTTTAGAATATTACACGAAGATTTACATATTTGAACGTGTTCGATTATAAATAACTGGTTTTTTAGTTATCATAATATGAAGTAAATTTCCGATTACCTTCAGATTTCGAATATAAATATATACATATGTTTTTGTATGATTATGAACAGTTTCCTTGACGATTTGTAAATTCTTGACTTCCCGTTCTAGTTTCCTTCACAAACGTTATACTAAATAAATAAAAAACGTAATATACAATTTGGTATGTATTTACGTTTGATCATTTTACAAAGAAACTAATCGAATATTCGATCTGTCACCTTCAGACAAAGAAAAACAAAAATGCCGATGTTTCTTTTATTTTAATACGTCCTGTACGTTGGGTCCGAGGTTGGACCTCTTAATAATAAAAAACATTCACAGTCAAAAAGTCCGATGACGTGTTTGACGAAAGTGAACCTTCACTAGAACTAAATAAAGCTTATATTAAAAAATGTAAACAATTTTCGCATCTCAAATTTATAAATATTGTTCAGGTATACTAGTTCCGAAATTTGTGTTTTAAAAAATCCTTGTTCATTGTTTTTTTTAACAACATGAACTAAGTTTTTTGTTTTATATAATTAGAATGAAACAAAAATTTAACTTACCATATTTCTCGGCAATCCCTATAATATCCGTAAAATTTAACCCAAATAGTTACCGCACCACAAACACAGTACCGCACAGTAAGTACAGTCGTTCACAAAATAATCGCACGGAAATTTTTTTTAATAAACAATCAAAACAAAAAAATTATAATCACTAATCGAACACCAGTTTAAAAATTTTCGAATTTCGAATCTAGGTATAAGTATTTGTCCTCTCGCCTGTCCGTGTTGAAAGACAGCCGTGGACTGAACAGCCAAAAGTCGTCGGCGCCCGTCGTTCGAATACAAAATGCGCGTACGCTCTACGCGGATCTAACTGTCTTGATACTTGGCTGTGAATTTTAATGGTGCCGGAAAGCGAGAGTGCTTTTCCTATAAGCGCTATGGCGCGAAACACTATTTATGTAATGCATATTTTATAAAACCCGGGCTTTAGGATTTTGTGAGCGATTCAAAATCGAAGTTTTTGATTCAGTTAAATTGTGTTATTTTTTTATTGCTTAGATGGGTAGTCGAGCCCACAGCCCACCTGGTGTTAAGTGGTTACTGGAGCCCATACACATCCACAACGTAAATGCACCACCCACCTTGAGATATAAGTTGTAAGGTCTCAAGTATAGTTACAACGGCTGCCCCACCCTTCAAACCGAAACGCACTACTGCTTCACGGCAGAAATAGGCAGGGTGGTGGTACCCACCCGCGAGGACTCACAAGAGATCCTACCACCAGTAACGTGCTTCGGTAACTGAAGGTAGCGAATGATCGAGTCGTTTGTTTAATTGGTAGCTTTAATTTTCCTAGAAAAGAGCGACTCGCTCGACCGAACAGATACAACGGTGTTCGAATCCCGCAGGCGGGTACCAATTTTTCTAATGAAATACGTACTTAACAAATGTTCACGATTGACTTCCACGGTGAAGGAATAACATCGTGTAATAAAAATCAAACCCGCAAAATTATAATTTCTAGTATCCAACCAAATCGGCTGATGTTTATCGTATATAGTAAGTACCTTTATGAAACAGGAAACGCATTTATAAAATACTGATATTGAAATTAATTCGTTAGGCTCGATAAATAAACTCATCGCAAATCTTCCTCTTCCCTTTACCATGTTATTGAAAGCTCGAAGCAATCCGCAGTACGCAATGTATTATTTCCAACAAAATAAAGTAATTCATTGAATGAGTAATTTGGCTTTTCTCAAACGCAATTTGCAGTCTAAAAAACCAATCCACATGACAAAGCTAGTGAAAGTTGATAAAAAAATAATAATTAAGTCATTAAGAAAGTGATTTCGATAAAAAAATCTATAAAATTAACCAATTCTTCACCAATTCCGAATCAAATTAGCGTGAATAAAAAAATAAAAAAACGAAACAAAAATATCTTAGAAAGTAGTACAAGTATCAAGATTGATGATATTGTAAATGTCATAAGTTTCATAAAATTAATAATAATGCTGATATTTTCATACAAACATGATTCTGCTAAAGCAAGAACAGGATGGTAAATCAAAACCTGGTCGCATTAGTTTCCTCATAAAGATTTTTTAATGTGTTTTTTTCTATCCATAGCAACACTAAATTAATGTAGGTATAAGTTCATATTATAAAGTTCGGTTTTATGTAGTTTTTTTTAGTTCACCGATGGGCAGTGACACAGCGTATGCACTGTCAAGAGGAGAACAAAAGTTACAGACCCATCACAACGTGAATGCTATGCACCTTGAGACATGAAATCGGGGACTTAATTGTGTTGGATAACTGTTGTCTCACTCTTCAAACTAGAACACATGATAGGCAGAAGTAGATAGCGCGGCAGGATCTAGCCATACGAATTACTGGTGGTAGGACCTCTTGTGAGTCCGCGCGGGTGGCTACCACCATCCTGCCTATTTCTGCCGTGAAGCAGTAATGCGTTTCGGTTTGAAGGGTGGGGCAGCCGTTGTAACTATACTTGAGACCTTAGAACTTGTATCTCAAGGCGGGTGGCGCATTTACGTAGTAGATGTCTATGGGCTCCAGTAACCACTTAACACCAGGTGGGCTGTGAGCTCGTCCACCCATCTAAGCAATAAAAAAAAAAGGAAGTCGTGTTATCCACATGTTTAATAGGTACTAAAAATATATTTTTATTAATACAGCTTTTGTTATTGATTGTATTTTCTAGATAGCCTGCTTTCCGCCCGCAGCTTCGTCTGGACTACATTTTGTATGGCGTCGACGGATACTCCTACTCAGCAGGGGAATAAAGGGTGTCCTGTATCCCTTCCCAGGATTCCAACTATTCCCATACAGAATATTTAATTTAGCTCAGTGGTTTCTTTCGTATTTATAGGATCACTATAGATATTGCATCAGTGTTAAATATAAAGTTACTCTCTTAAGCATTTAAACGCCCATTGTAAGCGTTGTATTTGTTGACGTGCCAAAGAATTAAAGTCTTCGTCATATAGTAGAAGGAGATTAACAATAATAAGACCAAGTTATTTAGCCATGAGCTTACAAAAAAAAGCGCCTAATGGTGCGCGATAGATATAGATAGAGTTCTGAAATACTTGGGCCACATTGCAAGAAAGGATAACGGCAGCTTGGAGAAGCTAATGGTGACTGGCAAGGCGATCATGAGGTAGAGGCTCCGACACGTTGGACTGACCAGATCCGCACTACACTCGGCGGCAAACAGTAGCAAATGGCGTGGAATGATCTGGAATAAACTCTTGTTGCGAGGAGGTGGTTACGACCCTCAATATTGAGGAAACCGAAGCGAGAAGAAGAAGATGCGCGCTATCGAAACTGCTACCTGTTAAATGTCAGGTTTAGAAGGTGTTCTCAGGATGCAACTGGCATAGTTGATGCCTATGAGCGACGCGCTCGTCTTTCTTCGAGTGATAGGGGGTGATGCAGTGGTAAAATAAAGATGACGGTATCATCACAAACAATTCCTCGGAGTATTTCTCCGAGAAAGTTCCGGTCTGGTATGGGGTCATACTACATTCACCGATCGAGGAGGTGCGAGCACGGGGCTCTAACCTGAGGACGTTGCTAACACTAGCCCTAGCTAGAACAGTGCTTCGCAGAATCTACCACCGGATCGGAAACACGACCCACTAAGAAGATCCGGTGAGAAATTGGGCTCTGTCTGAGGGTTAATTTGCTTGTTGAGCCCTTCGTAGCATTCGACGGGTTCGACGAGCACGACGACCGGTGCTTGAGGTACCTAAAAGCACCGATAGTGGATCGGAAGGGTCCGAAATGACTTCCTTAGGGCGACGTCGACTGTATACCGTTCGGTCCGCATCGGTAGAGTCGTACACCACATGACCTTTGATGACATTAAGACACTTAAAATGTAAACCATTTTGTTACTTTTTTTGTGTGCAATATCTTTTTTTCCCCTTGTAGGCAGACGAGCATATGGCCGATTTGATGGTGGGTGGTTCCCGCGCCCATGGACTTCAGCAATGCTAGGGGTAGAGCCAAGCCACTGCCTACCGTTAATTACTCTCCACAAGCCTCGTTTGTATTGAAATGTCATTGCGCTCGGGAAACACTGTAGAGGGGAGCTCATTCCAAAGGGTGGTATATTCCGAAATTTCCATAAATGCTACTCCTTAATTCCTTTCTCCTGAACTACGTTCAATTCCTTAGCTTCAATTTTCATGATCCAGTCAATTTGTTCTAGCACTGTACACAGATATTTAACGACATCACTCATAATTTATCGCACGAGATTCTATAAGGAGACACGTTTGCCTAACAAAGATCTGTACAGCTCTAGATTGCGGCAACCAGAAAACGTTGATCTCTCGAAGGCTTCCGGAGACCCCCCCTGGTGCTGAAGTCACTTCGAACTCCGAGCAGCGGGGTGGATCCGATTCTGTGGCCGGTCAAAACTACTTTCACTTCGCCGAGTTCGTTTTGCAAACGACCTTATTATTGTGGAGTGAGCAGTGGTGAGTTGCGAGCTTGAACTGAGACAATTACCGTTATGCAGCATGCAACACATAGACGTACTACAATACGTAGTCGTATTAATATTATACTAGAGGTCCCGCAGTAGTCGAAATTCGACTATAATTGATTGGAATTGTAAGTTTGTACACTATTATGATTGTATTTTATACTTCCATAATCACAAATTTCGCCAAGTCTACACTATAAAAAATATTAACAAAGACAAACAATATTTAATCTATTCTCAATTTGACAACAGACGTCAAGAACAAAAGTTTGACAATAAATAGTATGCATGCGTGTGTGCGTCAAATATATGGTATGTAGTGTGTGTAATGTTTTCTTTATTGATTTAATGTATCTTTTGTGCATTATTTAAAAAAAAAAATTTGCATTGTGCACTTCTTCTCTATATTCTCTATAAGTGTGGAAAATTTCATACTCCTCCGTACGCGCAATTTTCGTAAAAAGGGATACAAAGTTTTTGCTTCACGTATTAATATATAGATTACGTGGTTAAGTTATGATAAAGCAATATGTTGAATATTGTATGGTTTATATCAAGCGTTTGTAGTGTAGCGAGCTAACTATTGAAAATACACATTTACTGGTTCACGAGTGACGGTAACCACTCACCATTAGGTGGGCCGTATGCTCTTCTGCCTACAAGGGAAAATAAGAAAGAAAAGTCATGAAATTTTGTATTATAAAATAAACATCAAGATTAATGATTCACAAATTTCTTTAGTCACCAGTGTGAATCGCCGGCCACTTTCTTAAGCAGTCACTTCAGAATTGAGGAGTTGGATGGAGATTACAAGATCGTATTACCATTGAAAATTCAACCACATAGCAAAAGTGGGTTGTTATATTTATGGGTTTACTTTAATTACCAATGAACGTGGTAAGGATTTTATTGGCAACCACTTATCATTAGGTGGCCCGTATGCTCTTCTGCCTACAAGGGCAAATAAGAAAGAAAAAAAAAGTCATGAAATGTTGTATTAAAAAATAAACGTGAGAATCAAGGTTCATAAATTTCTTTAGTCACTCGTAACAATTGCCTACCAGGTTCTGAAGCAGTCACTTTAGAATTGATGAGTTGTATGGAGATTACACGATAATACTACCTCATTGAAAATTCAACCTCATAGCACAAGAGGGCTATTATATTTATAGGCTCGTTTACATAAATATTTTTTTATTGCTTAGATCGGTGGATGACCTCACAGCCCGCCTAGTGTTAAGTGGTTACCGGAGCTCATAGATATCTACAACGTAAATGCGCCAC